TTATTTAATTATAATTATAAAAAAATTCGTTAATTAAAAAAATCGCAACTCCATTTACATATATAAATTACGCATAATTTTAAAACATAAATAATTTGAAAATAGCGAGCAGCACTGTTAATAAATATTCGTGATTAATTTTAATTGTGATTGAAAGAAAGAAAGCGCCTTAACAATGTATAACTGAAAGTCATCGTATTTATTATGAAGCCTTATTAATATTTTAATGCACTTTCAAATCACAGCCAATCAACGTCACAAGTGGAGAATTTTAAAACGCGTTTCACCCTACACTGAATCGTGGTCGGCACTAATACTACTCGTGATATGTGTGACCGAGTGCATGCTTGGCTTCACTGCCATCAGTGCAATGTGAAAGGGATGCAACAAATTATAAAAAAGCATTGCGCCCTATTGGTGTGCTGCTACTGTTGCTTTTTTTCACGTAGACTTTTTCAATTTTATTTCATTTGCACTGCAATGGCGATAGCAAAGCAATGTGTGAGTGCAATTAATTGGAAAATAAATTGGTCATAGAAAATACGCGAGCGAAACGCACTGCCAACAACAAAATGAAGGAATTCATTTAGAGCGGCAGCAACATGCCTTTACACTTTACTTAAATGGTTAAATGACAGGAAAATAAATAAATAAATGGTGAACAAAAAAATAAACCAACAATTTTGAAAGCAGTGCCTGAATGACAGTGTGGTGAGCGATGCAAGTGGCAAAATGACGAACAGGCGAACGACCTGCAGCTAGCTAGTAAAGACGACGCGTTCCATATAAATACATAGGTAAAGTGCAGCGATAATGATTGAAAAAAAATTTTTTTTTTAAATCAGAAAAAAATGCACAGAAAATAATTAAATGTATATATTATTAAATAACAAAAAAAAAAGAAGCATTGCCTAAGTAGCAGTGGATTGCTGATACAAAAGCGGCGTTTGCAAGTTGTGATGGGAAAATTAAATGCGAAATGGAAATAGTTGTGTGCCTAAATGGACGTTGGAGAAAGTAAATGCACATTAGAAAATGTGTATGTGTAGTTTGGACGTACTCACATATTTTATTATGTAGCCATTTTGCTAAAAGTTCAAAGTAAATTACACTTGATTATGAGAGACAGTAATTCTGAGGTTTGTTTTTATTTTATTTTATTTGCTTTTTAACGATAACCACCACATCGATAAGCAACCAAAACGTGGAAATTGCAGCGAAAAATAAATACCTGCATGAAATAAAGGCAAGCAAGGTTCAATGTCCCTGAGTAGCGAAAAACACAACGCAACTGAAATCATCCCCTTTTTGCCGCTGACAAGGTGTACAAATGAAATAAAAAAGCAGATCGAAGGTGAAATGTGTTGCAATCGGCAAAGTGGAGATGCGAGTGTGCAAAAACAAATAAAATAAAATAAATAAATGTGTAAATAAACATAAAACCAACATTAACCTGCTATAGCGTCGGTATCACTGCATACTTCGATTGTTAAATTTTAGCTGATTTGAGGTGTGCACAGTGTGTTGGTTGACCCAGTAAATTTGTAAAACGTTAGCTTCAGTTATAGTGAAGCAATAATACTCTGTACAGGCGCATTTTTAGCGCACAAAATAGTATAAATTATCATGATTTTGATTGTTCATTTTTTAATAACTAAAATTTTTTCCATACAAAAACTTGATTTTAAATAGCCGAGTTTCGTGCAGATATCCTGTCCATCAAACTAGTTTTGCATACTCTATCTAGATCGGCCACTTTCTATAGCAGCTATATGCTATAGTGTTCTAATAATGGCGGTTCTTGCAGAGAAAAGGACGTCTGCAAAATTTCAGACCTGCATCTCAAAATTGAGAGATTTGTTCGAGGATATAAAGACAGATCCTGGGTCTCCAAAATTTTCTTCTGGGTGTTACAAATTTTGTGGTAAACTCATTCAGTTTAGTATGAATTACTAAAACACAATTTAATATGTTTGAAAACAAAAAATAATGTTTCTAACGCCACGCAATTATCGCACATATCCTTGTAACCATTGCCTTGGCAGTTGTTACATATTGACATTGTACTACGCGAAGTTGGTTGTTCGACACAAAGACGTCAAGTTGCCGATGACTCATTTCGTATGTCTGGCAAAAAAACAAAAAGAAAAACGTACGTATGAATGTATGTATGTATATGCAGTATATTGAAGGAAAAGAGGAGCATGCAACCAGTACAACAACCCGACAGGCAACTAGCTCGTCTACACAAATCAGGCTTCCCACTTGCATTTGTTGCTCCCCTTTCAATGACGACGAAACAATGCTGCCTTTGGCAATGGAGTTGATGGTGATGATGGGAAAATGCTGTTGCTGTTGCTGTGTTGCGGCTAACAGCCACCAGCGCGCGCATGTCGCGTCTTTATATACACTGGCCGACTAAATTACTGCCGCAGCCAACCCACTTGTATTAACCAACAAACAAGCAAGCAGCCTAACAGCCAACTTGTCACATCTGCACTTCCTTTGTTCCTCGCATACATAGCTTGGAAATTGTATGTATGTATTTATGTATGTAACATGTACTATATATTAATATTATATTCATATGTAACTGCTTTATTTCTTTTGTTTTTGACTTTGTAGCGCCTCGTTAATTTCATATTTGTCAAAGTTCTTAAGATGATACTAATTTGTGCTAATAATAAAAAACTTTTTAATATTTTCATGTCAATTGTTTAATTTTATATTTTTTGGTATTTCTTTTATTACTGCAAATATGTATGTACATATATATTTTTAGCTCAGATTATATGCACATTATTTAACTTCACTTTAATATATATATGGTGACTCACCTTTCTCATTTGGACATACGTTCAACTGCTCATCGTCGCGTGAGACTTGTGTGATTATTGATGTTGCATCCATTTAAGCATAAATTTTTTACTTCACTCTCGGTAGGCAAATATAAGACTTTGCCTGCCGCCGCCGTCGTTTTGTTTATGTGTTTAAAACAACAACAAAAATTTACAAAAATTAATTTCGCACGTACAAAATATAAATAAAAAACTAAAATATTTTTCAAAGATATGTATCTTTCACACACTTGTTTATTATTTTATGTATTATTAATATTTTTTATTTATGGCTCTTTGAAATTCGTTTCACTTTTCGGCTGCTGTGCGCGTGCCGTCGTTAAATATACATATAATATTATTATATATTTTTTTCAAATGTTTTGATTGATTGTTAAAAGGCGTTTCGCTTTCCACCAAATTATGCAATAATCTCTAATCTTGCTTTGTAGAAATATCACTTTTTAAAGCAAACGCTTTATTTGTTCTGTGATTACAAAAATACTGTTTTGTGTGTAAAATTATGTTAAATAAACTTTCATATATTTTTTAAATTCATTTTTTAACTCAAAGGAACCACAGCAAACTTGGAGAACACAAAGAAAACCTGAAATTGAAAGTAAAAACAGTTTTAATGATATTATATTTGTATATGATACAAAAACAATAAAATCTAATCATTAAATATTTTTCTAAAATAATTACGTAATAAGAAAATAGGAAATAAATATGAAAAAATAGACGGTTGCATCAAAGTTAGATTAGATTAGAATTTTAGATCTTTTATCTCAAAAATTGAAGTGTTAATTCGCGAATATACAGATAGACCGATTTGGCTAAATCGACTCAGCTCATCACGCTGATCACTCCAATATGTGTATGTACATATTTCTTATAAGGTCTCAGGGTATATTAATTTTAATAACAAGTATCAGGGGAAACTAACAAAAGGAAACTGTTCTCGAAACTTAGACCCTGCTATAAACATATGTATACATGTATATTTATAAGGTTGATATATATTTAACCGTTACAAATGCAACAATCTATTTTTTGAAATTGTATTCCCTCTTTGTGTGCGAATATTCACGTCGGCAAGTGTAAATTTATTTAGACTGGTATGCATACATATAAATATGGAGGTATATTCTACATATTTTCAAAGCAGTGAACTGTTGAAAATTATACTGTAATCTTATCTTTTTCATTGAGCATATGACAACCACTTTACATACTATAGCCAAGGTGATTGATTGTGTATTTATACACTTTAATTTGCAAATTATTAAATTGAATGCAATATAAAAAACATGAATTATAAATAGTGCTAACTATAATTACCTCACTTAAAAAAGTATATATGAAAAGCATATGATATGTATGTATGTACATATTTTTTTTTAATTGAGAAAGTTAAAGGCTAATATAAACAGATTGCGCAGATAGCACACAATACACTGTACACAATTCGCAACAAACACGCATACATGCATACTTCTTCACATAAATACATACAGAGCAAATTGCGAAGACAAAAAAAAAAAAGGTCGTCAAAATGCCTATCTGCGACGAAGCACGAGATGCAGCACTGCCCCAACCACTGACGAGCGATTGGCACTTGCGCAGCGTATCTTCGTATCAAGACGCGCTGACAGAGCAGCAGCGCAGTCAAATGCAGTCTACACTGACTTCGCACGATGTCTTACGAAGTAGCAGCACAGCACTTCAATGACGTCGTAGTTGACGCAACTGACAACTCGTTTTGAATTTAAAATTTTCCAACTTGATGTACGAATGCAGCAAAGAGGAATACCAAGAAATTATAAATGTAAAAGAGAATGACAATAAAATTACTAAACAAATGAAAAATAACTCTGTAAAATAGTAGTGTTAGACGCGAAATAGAGATAAATTTAGCATAAATCATAGATATGTATGTGTGTTCTTTACTATGCATGATTTCCGCCCCTTACAACCCACTCCTTTCCACAACAAAATATATAAAAACTTCATTTCAGCACACTCAAGTCACTTTGATTGCCGTCGTCAGCAGCTTTGCAACCACTTCACCCGATTCACTTGACTTCATCAGCGTCGCAAACAAAACAAAGCAAAGTAGCTCAGCACAGCATAGTATAGTTATGCTTATGATTTGCATACAAAAAAAGACGATGCGTGCTCATTTGCTGTAAAATGAAATTGTTTTATGCAGTTCTGAGCTAACGCGAGGAAATATGTACATATGCATAGCTAATGATACTAAAAGTTAATATATATAGCAAAGAACTGAGTACACAAATCGCAATATGTACGATAGCGACCATTTTGCTGTGCTTGTGCAGTGTCGGCTATCACAACGGCAATGGCTGTAGAAGTGCCCTCAGACATTTTATGCTCTGGGGCTATGTGTTTGTTGGCTTATTTTTGTCACTTCCCTTTGCGGTTTACATTCAACTGCCAGTAATATTAATACAAATTTGTGCACTTGTCGCTTTTCAGACACTAAACGAGGTTGCGCTTATTTCTTGCGGTTGTAACAGGTTTTGTCTATATAGAATTCATAAATATGAAATTATATACGGAATCATTAACAAAATGTAATGAATTATGTTAAAAAATTAAATCAAACTATGTACTTTGCACGATTGATCAAACGTACTAGTCGAAATTCCAAATATAGACTCAGAGACAAAGATGAAGAAGAAGAGCAGACCTTTGCGACACCGCTAGCGTTGGGTACTTTGACGCCAACGTCAACGCCGACGCCGAAACTCGAATGTTATGCTGCTTTTATTATAAATGATTTTTTGTTATCGGCACCCCTGTTAACCTTACATTATATTTGAGTATTAGAACAAATACTTTACTGGAAATGCATATTTATTTATTTATGATGATCCTTCAAAGAATTATGTGGTCAATGGCGGTCTTACCAGACAAGTGTTAAATGTAAATTAATTTCTAAAACTTGAAAAACTAAATAACCATCTGCATATAACTTCTATGCATTTCATTTCACGACTTATTTCATGCATTTATGCATTTAGTCTTAATTGCTACTTCTCACGCAGCTCTTTTTCTTTTTCCACAAATAATATTTATATGCAATATTTTTTGTCGTCTCTGTTTCGTTTTGCGTATATTATTCGCCGCCTTTTGTAGCAACACAATAATATTTCTAATAAAAGCGTAAACATTTTGCATTTACAAGTATTATTTTCTATTCCTCTCTACAGCCACTTTTATCTGCTTTTGTTGCTGCTTATTCTTTTATCTCATAACACTCAATCACCGTCTTCGCTTCCGTCTCCATCTATACCAATGTCTGCTGCTACTTATGTATTTACTTTTATTGTTTTTGCTTTTGATCGCGTTCAACAGCCATCGCTGCCGCCGCCGTTGACGTTTCTGCTTCTGGCTCCGCGCTCGTAGCCGTTCACTGACTGCTTTTGGCTACAAGCCACTTTTAAGGTGTGCGCAACAGTTCGGATAGCGGAATGCACACAAATATACATAGAAATCAAATACTCACACACATACACTCATGCAATAACGCTACACACAAAGCAATTTTTGGAGACGAACATTGAATGAACTAATACGCTTACACTCTCGTTTACATGCATACATATATATGAAAAATATTGTAAAATATAGTGTATTTGAAAATATTTACACTGCGCTTTTTGCGTTTTCCACTTAATCACGTCGATGCCTTATTGCCGGTCCTTTAGTATTCGTTTTATTTCGACACTAATTCGCCTAATTGATGATAATCGCACTCGTTTCGTTTGAAATTTGTATGTAGTAGAAAAAAATAAAAACAAAAAATTTCCGCCATATGCAATCGTACGCGTTTAAACCGTATAACACAACACCTTTTCTCCTTGTAGTCTAAAAGAAACTGAACAAATTACGAACAATTTATGAAAATAGAAGCAGTGAACAAAGTGTGCACAATTTTATGCAAGAATCACAAATTAAAACGGAATTGTCATCAGAATTACCAACTGCTCTTTGACTTGGCAGTACTGAAATATACAATGTGTTCAAGATGATGGAAAATGCTTATTGGAAAGGTATTATGAATTCTTATTAAATTAATTAAAAACAATTGTCTGATTTTGCAATAAGTATAGAAATTTGATATACCATAACAAAAACTAGAAGGCTTAAACTTTTCTATACAAACGCAATAAAATAATGTGGGAAACACTATATTTTATTAATTTTTTTTTTTTATTTGGCGACTTGGTATTAATTATTATTAAAGTATTATTAATAACCTTTTATTTAAACTACTGCTATGTGTCGCAGTTGTAAAATAACTTCATTAAAATTCAGTTAAGAAAAAAAATGTGTGGCCTATTTAGCCATCTGTGTTCCAAATCTTATTGAATTCCTTCTATCATATGATCTTATCTACTATCATAATTTGTTTTTCTCAGCCACATGCAGTGAAATTATTATTTGCAACTAACGTTAATAGCTGCAATTTGAGATTTGTCTATCAATATAATATTAATTTATAATTTAATTTAAACAGCACCACTCAATGCATATCTGTTGCCTTGCATGTGATATAACAAGGGAGCTAGCTGTGTGAAAATCAAATTCTTAAAATTGGTGAAGCGGTAAACATGAAATTATATAATTACGGTTATATTTATTAGTTATTTGTAATCAAGCTAATTTAATTTTCAATAAACTTATTTAAATATTTTTCAAATAGCTGTCATATGTAATAATCAATAATTTACTCTGTTATAGCTTTCAGCAGTACACCACAATGCTACGCACTACAACCGGCGTTTTAGCAAGGCTCATAATTAATGAGTCGAAAACCAGTAGCTCCGCTTTTGCATTGGAATTCGTGCGTTGGCGCAGAAAGCCGCGTTGGTTGCCAGTGGCAAAGAGTAAACTATATCGCGTGCCCGAACGCAAGGAACAGAATGCGGAGGAAAGAGCTGAACTCATGCGTTTGCATAATAATTACAAGTATGCACATATACTTATTGTTATTTATATTGTAACTGCTTCTCTTTGTATTAATAGGCTGCAAATGCGCTCCTTACGACAGTATTTCCGTGAAGAGGTCTTGCGTTTGAATGTAACAACCACGGCTGATCACATTGTGTTAACACCGGAGCAGGAAGAAGCCGAGTTCGCACGTTGTATGCAAGAGAACGAAGCATGGAATAAAAAAATTGCAGATGAAAGAAATGAACGTTTGTTGAAAGAGCGTGAACGGCAAGCAGCAGAAATACGTGAACGCTTAGAAGCGGCACGTGTGCGTGAAGAGGAACGCATGGAGCGTATTGAGGAAATAGTTAGGCGTGAGAAAGAATTGGCGAAAACATTTATAACTCACGAAAATCTTGAAACTGCTATTGAACAGGCATTAGCCAACCCAGTTGATTATAATTTCTCTATAGATTTACAAGGTAATATCTATCGAGGACGTACCACTTTGCCGGGTGGTAAAGGTACTCCAGCCACCAGTGGCGTGCAAGATACAGAAGTCCAACAAACAATTGAAGCTAGTAATTAGTGTTTTAGTGCTTTTCAATTATGTTCAATTAATAAAGTCCAAAATATATATATTTTTTATTTTCAAAATTTTTTCTCACTTTTGTTTACAGCTTTCAAAAATCCTTAAAGGTTGAATTACATATATAACGAAGTAGTTTTTTAGTTTTAAGATTTTGGTGCAAATTTCTTTTTTTAATTTGAAGTTGAAGAATGAAATAATGAGATTTTTTTCTCACTTTGTTATATCTCACAGTTTAGCTTTATTAAATACACATGTACATGACTAAAATACATATGTTTGTTAAAGTAAACAATCACTTTTTAATAACTTTATATTTTACAAAAACAAAATATTTATATAGGATCAATTGTTTATGATTTCTTAATGCTTTCCCTGTACTAATTTCACAAAATTAGCTTCTGGGTGCCATTGCTCGTTTATAACTACAGTTACTTAAAAATATACGCCAAATTAACACTTAATTTATAACTAAGTTTATATAAAAGTTATAATGTTCGCAGTGCTATGCAGGTTTCGAACGCTGCCGTCGTTCTTCCTGTTCCATTAAATGCTCCCAATCGGGTGTGACTGTCAGTTTGGCTTGTATGGAACCGAGATTAATCATATTGCCACTACGTTCCTCCCGATTGGTATTGATGGACATAAGGTCCTGAAATATGTAAACATAGTTTATTAAAAACAAACAAATAATTTTTCTACTAAAATTACGCACTTGTAGGAAACCAGTTTCAATGCCCATATTCAAATCGAAATAAGTATTGCCTAAAACTAACTTTACTTTCCCCGACTTATAGCGTAGTAATCTACCAATTTTACCCTCTTCCAAATCTTTCATCGATGTACGCTTCGTTGTTAGTTTTGTAGCAGGTGGATTTTGTGATGTAGAGGGTGTGTCTGCGGCAATGTTCTAAAAATACGAATACATTTCTTATTAATCAGTTTCCTACTTACAAAATTTGAAAAACAAAAAAGTTTTAAAATTTTAAAAACCTTTTCATGATTTGGCTTTTCAGCAACTTCCTCCAAATCGTCTTCACAAGGCAACACATTTGGCAGCTAAAAAAAAAAACAAAATCAGCAATTATAAATTCTTTTTTATTTATATACTTCTGCCAAGCACCTGTAATAATAAGAGCTGTGATTGTGTCCGGTCTAACAGCTCAGCAACGGACTCTGGATATCGCTCCAAAGCACCGTTTGTGCGTAGTTGCTGCTCCTCTTCCCTAACAACCTGCGTTTGTAAATTTTGTGCAATAGCAATAGCGGATTCTATGCAACAGATAAAATTAAAAAAACAAGTTTAATTTAAAAAAAATATATATTATAAGAAGAGGTCAATAGATATATTGTATGATATGACTTCAATGTAATTGACCTCTGAAAAATGCGAATTTCTGGTTGTTAATTTTTCCTGTTTTAATATGCACTATATTTGCAGCTATTCTTGCCCACTCACCGATATCTTCACAAATTTCAGCAGCTTCATCTTTTACTTCAGCCTCTACTTTCTCTTGCTTAACTTCAACTTTAATAGGCTTCCACTTGGCTAACGGGAGCAAGTGCAAGTGTATGTTTGTTTACGTATGCATGTATGCATGTGTGTAGAGGGGGAAGAGTGTATAAGGACAACCCAAAAAGTAAACATTAAAAAATGAGTAATTGATTGTGGTGCTCGGCTAAATTCTCGTACGTCAAACGATAGCGGTTAATAGCAGTAATCTTCCCACTTGGCGCACAATGAACACATAGCTTATGCGCATTGTGTCACCTTTGATTTTATACAAGCCTGCATGATTAACTAGTATACCAAATGAACTTGTTCAAATCGAGCATACACACATGTATATTTCGACTCTTCACACCTTTGGTTTGCACAAAATTCATATTTCACAATTTTAATAAAACTTACCGTTACTTAGTTTGACCGGCATCATTTCTAAATCAGTCTTTTCATCTACCAAATCATCTTCATCTGTATCACCAAGTAGTTCACGCAGCTGCTCTTCATCAGCTTTCGCATCAATTTTTTTCAAATGTTCCTGTTTGATTATTGTCGGCCGACGCATTTGTGAGGCGGTATCATCGGCATTTCGACTGCTGAAACCTGAACCGCCCGAGCTCGCTTTGCGGATGTTTATAGCACCTGCACCTTCTGAAAACACACCGGTGGTTTGTATGAGTGATGAATTGGCACTGCCAGCAGCACCACCACGTCCACCACGCGTACCACTGCCGGCACCGCGGCTACCTCGCGCACCGCGCCCACGACCACCACGCGCTGTAGTGTCTTTAGATGTTTTCACATTGCTAAAAAAGAAACGTTGATAACCGACTAATTAATAATTTTGCACAATTTGTTTTCGTCCTGTGTAACTCACGTGTTCTTGTTGCGCACTACATTGAGGTTGGGCGTGAATACTTTTTTCGCTGCATTAGCGCCGGCATTGCCACCACGTCCACCCAGTGTCAAATCGCGAGCCGGCTTTAAAGATGTTAATTTATGAAGTGTTGGCGTAGTTGCTGCCGAGCTGCCGTTCATGATTAACGCTTTTTTATTATCTATGATGTGCGTACTACGTTTAGTAACGAGCACTTCGTAGTTGCCGGGGTCCAGTAATTATTATGTGCGGTACAAATTTACGTTTTGTTTCCGCTGCAACTGATCCTGCTTTGTTGATGTATGTTTTTTAAATACTTGTTTTGGTCTTAGTTTGATGCACATTCTCATTCTCGGCGGACATGTGGCAAATAAATAGCACCAGAACTGTGATATTTGTGGTTTTTTTTTGTTGTTTTGATTACCTCCTTTGGTGCACGTCAAATTCTTGTTAAACTGTCTACTTCTTGTTGCTACTGTGATTCACAATAGATAATTCTTATTTTTGATTTAGAAGCTTTTTGAAAATTTTACTTTTTGTTCGCAGTTAATTCAATCCTTTGACATGATTATATATATATTACAATATAACATTTAAATAATAATTATAGTTTTTGTTTTTTGTAAACTTCATTCAATATTAAAGTTGAGAGATTAGAAACATGAGGAAAAATCAAATTGAACAGAACCTAGCATATATCGATACCGATAGCACAAAGTTAAGTTTTCTTCACAGGCATGCCTAAATAAAAGTGTTGAGCAGCGCCTTTTTTTCTGAGTATCCTTAAATAAAACGGCACTATACGTCAAAAACTTACATTAATTCTAAAATTAGTACAAAGTCAATTAAATGTCAAAATCCATTAGATCCATTAAAATCCATATTTTTCAGAAAAATTACTTATTCTTCGTTTTCTGCAGCCAATTTTACTTCTTAACGCGCTGTCACAATCGAATTTTGTAACGCACTGCGTTGA